GTGTGTGTGTGTGTGTGTGTGTGTGTGTGTGTGTGTGTGTGTGTGTGTGTGTGTGTGTGTGTGTGTGTGTGTGTGTGTGTGTGTGTGTGTGTGTGTGTGTGTGTGTGTGTGTGTGTGTGTGTGTGTGTGTGTGTGTGTGTGTGTGTGTGTGTGTGTGTGTGTGTGTGTGTGTGTGTGTGTGTGTGTGTGTGTGTGTGTGTGTGTGTGTGTGTGTGTGTGTGTGTGTGTGTGTGTGTGTGTGTGTGTGTGTGTGTGTGTGTGTGTGTGTGTGTGTGTGTGTGTGTGTGTGTGTGTGTGTGTGTGTGTGTGTGTGTGTGTGTGTGTACTCACCTAATTGTACTCACCTAATTGTGCTTGCGGGGGTTGAGCTCTGGCTCTTTGGTCCCGCCTCTCAACCGTCAATCAACTGGTGTACAGATTCCTGAGCCTATTGGGCTCTATCATATCTACATTTGAAACTGTGAATGGAGTCAGCCTCCACCACATCACTTCCTAATGCATTCCATTTGCTAACTACTCTGACACTGAAAAAGTTCTTTCTAACGTCTCTGTGGCTCATTTGGGTACTCAGCTTCCACCTGTGTCCCCTTGTTCGCGTCCCACCAGTGTTGAAAAGTTCGTCCTTGTTTACCCGGTCGATTCCCCTGAGGATTTTGTAGGTTGTGATCATGTCCCCCCTTACTCTTCTGTCTTCCAGTGTCGTGAGGTGCATTTCCCGCAGCCTTTCCTCATAACTCATGCCTCTTAGTTCTGGGACTAGTCTAGTAGCATACCTTTGGACTTTTTCCAGCTTCGTCTTGTGCTTGACAAGGTACGGGCTCCATGCTGGGGCCGCATACTCCAGGATTGGTCTTACATATGTGGTGTACAAGATTCTGAATGATTCCTTACACAGGTTCCTGAACGCCGTTCTGATGTTAGCCAGCCTCGCATATGCCGCAGACGTTATTCTCTTTATGTGGGCTTCAGGAGACAGGTTTGGTGTGATATCAACTCCTAGATCTTTCTCTCTGTCTGTTTCATTAAGTACTTCATCTCCTATTCTGTATCCTGTGCCTGGCCTCCTGTTTCCACTGCCTAGTTTCATTACTTTGCATTTACTCGGGTTGAACTTCAACAGCCATTTGTTGGACCATTCACTCAGTCTATCCAGGTCATCTTGTAGCCTCCTACTATCATCCTCTGTTTCAATCCTCCTCATAATTTTTGCATCGTCGGCAAACATTGAGAGGAACGAATCTATACCCTCTGGGAGATCATTTACATATACCAGAAACAGTATAGGTCCAAGGACTGACCCCTGCGGGACTCCACTTGTGACGTCTCGCCAATCTGAGACTTCACCCCTCACACAGACTCGTTGTCTCCTGTTGCTTAGGTATTCCTCTATCCACCGGAGTACCTTCCCTCTCACTCCAGCCTGCATCTCCAACTTTCGCACTAGCCTCTTGTGTGGCACTGTATCAAAGGCTTTCTGACAATCCAAAAATATGCAGTCTGCCCACCCTTCTCTTTCTTGCCTTATTTTTGTTGCCTGGTCGTAGAATTCAAGTAACCCTGTGAGGCAGGACCTGCCATCCCTGAACCCATGTTGATGCTGTGTTACAAAGTTCCTTCGCTCCAGATGCTCCACTAGTTTTTTTCGCACAATCTTCTCCATCAGCTTGCATGGTATGCAGGTTAGGGACACTGGCCTGTAGTTCAGTGCCTCCTGTCTATCCCCTTTCTTGTATATCGGGACTACGTTAGCTGCTTTCCAAGTATCTGGCAGTTCCCCTGTTGCCAGTGATTTGTTATACACTATGGAGAGTGGTAGGCTCAGTTCTCTTGCTCCTTCCTTTAGAACCCAAGGGGAGATTCCATCTGGGCCTATAGCCTTCGTCACGTCCAACTCTAGTAAACACTTCCTTACTTCCCCACTGGTAATCTCAAACTCTTCCAGTGGTTCCTGGTTAGCTATTCCCTCACTTACCTCTGGAATTTCTCCTTGTTCTAAGGTGAAGACCTCCTGGAATTTCTTATTCAATTCCTCACACACTTCCTTGTCATTTGTAGTGAATCCTTCCGCCCCTATCCTTAATCTCATAACCTGTTCCTTTACTGTTGTTTTTCTCCTATGTGTGTGTGTGTGTGTGTAGTGTGTGTGTTTGTGTGTGTGTGTGTGTGTGTGTGTGTTGTGTGTGTGTGTGTGTGTGTGTGTGTGTGTGTGTGTGTGTGTGTGTGTGTGTGTGTGTGTGTGTGTGTGTGTGTGTGTGTGTGTGTGTGTGTGTGTGTGTGTGTGTGCTGTGTGTGTGTGTGTGTGTGTGGTGTGTGTGTGTGTGTGTGTGTGTGTGTGTGTGTGTGTGTGTGTGTGTGTGTGTGTGTGTGTGTGTGTGTGTGTGTGTGTGTGTGTGTGTGTGTGTGTGTGTGTGTGTGTGTGTGTGTGTGTGTGTGTGTGTGTGTGTGTGTGTGTGTGTGTGTGTGTGTGTGTGTGTGTGTGTGTGTGTGTGTGTGTGTGTGTGTGTGTGTGTGTGTGTGTGTGTGTGTGTGTGTGTGTGTGTGTGTGTGTGTGTGTGTGTGTGTGTGTGTGTGTGTGTGTGTGTGTGTGTGTGTGTGTGTGTGTGGGTCAGTTTCCACCTGTGTCCCTTGTTCGCGTTTTGTTTGTGTGTGTGTGTGTGTGTGTGTGTGTGTGTGTGTGTGTGTGTGTGTGTGTGTGTGTGTGTGTGTGTGTGTGTGTGTGTGTGTGTGTGTGTGTGTGTGTGTGTGTGTGTGTGTGTGTGTGTGTGTGTACTCACCTAATTGTACTCACCTAATTGTGCTTGCGGGGGTTGAGCTCTGGCTCTTTGGTCCCGCCTCTCAACCGTCAATCAACTGGTGTACAGATTCCTGAGCCTATTGGGCTCTATCATATCTACATTTGAAACTGTGAATGGAGTCAGCCTCCACCACATCACTTCCTAATGCATTCCATTTGCTAACTACTCTGACACTGAAAAAGTTCTTTCTAACGTCTCTGTGGCTCATTTGGGTACTCAGCTTCCACCTGTGTCCCCTTGTTCGCGTCCCACCAGTGTTGAAAAGTTCGTCCTTGTTTACCCGGTCGATTCCCCTGAGGATTTTGTAGGTTGTGATCATGTCCCCCCTTACTCTTCTGTCTTCCAGTGTCGTGAGGTGCATTTCCCGCAGCCTTTCCTCATAACTCATGCCTCTTAGTTCTGGGACTAGTCTAGTAGCATACCTTTGGACTTTTTCCAGCTTCGTCTTGTGCTTGACAAGGTACGGGCTCCATGCTGGGGCCGCATACTCCAGGATTGGTCTTACATATGTGGTGTACAAGATTCTGAATGATTCCTTACACAGGTTCCTGAACGCCGTTCTGATGTTAGCCAGCCTCGCATATGCCGCAGACGTTATTCTCTTTATGTGGGCTTCAGGAGACAGGTTTGGTGTGATATCAACTCCTAGATCTTTCTCTCTGTCTGTTTCATTAAGTACTTCATCTCCTATTCTGTATCCTGTGCCTGGCCTCCTGTTTCCACTGCCTAGTTTCATTACTTTGCATTTACTCGGGTTGAACTTCAACAGCCATTTGTTGGACCATTCACTCAGTCTATCCAGGTCATCTTGTAGCCTCCTACTATCATCCTCTGTTTCAATCCTCCTCATAATTTTTGCATCGTCGGCAAACATTGAGAGGAACGAATCTATACCCTCTGGGAGATCATTTACATATACCAGAAACAGTATAGGTCCAAGGACTGACCCCTGCGGGACTCCACTTGTGACGTCTCGCCAATCTGAGACCTCACCCCTCACACAGACTCGTTGTCTCCTGTTGCTTAGGTATTCCTCTATCCACCGGAGTACCTTCCCTCTCACTCCAGCCTGCATCTCCAACTTTCGCACTAGCCTCTTGTGTGGCACTGTATCAAAGGCTTTCTGACAATCCAAAAATATGCAGTCTGCCCACCCTTCTCTTTCTTGCCTTATTTTTGTTGCCTGGTCGTAGAATTCAAGTAACCCTGTGAGGCAGGACCTGCCATCCCTGAACCCATGTTGATGCTGTGTTACAAAGTTCCTTCGCTCCAGATGCTCCACTAGTTTTTTTCGCACAATCTTCTCCATCAGCTTGCATGGTATGCAGGTTAGGGACACTGGCCTGTAGTTCAGTGCCTCCTGTCTATCCCCTTTCTTGTATATCGGGACTACGTTAGCTGCTTTCCAAGTATCTGGCAGTTCCCCTGTTGCCAGTGATTTGTTATACACTATGGAGAGTGGTAGGCTCAGTTCTCTTGCTCCTTCCTTTAGAACCCAAGGGGAGATTCCATCTGGGCCTATAGCCTTCGTCACGTCCAACTCTAGTAAACACTTCCTTACTTCCCCACTGGTAATCTCAAACTCTTCCAGTGGTTCCTGGTTAGCTATTCCCTCACTTACCTCTGGAATTTCTCCTTGTTCTAAGGTGAAGACCTCCTGGAATTTCTTATTCAATTCCTCACACACTTCCTTGTCATTTGTAGTGAATCCTTCCGCCCCTATCCTTAATCTCATAACCTGTTCCTTTACTGTGTTTTTATTCCTATGTGTGTGTGTGTGTGTGTGTGTGTGTGTGTGTGTGTGTGTGTGTGTGTGTGTGTGTGTGTGTGTGTGTGTGTGTGTGTGTGTGTGTGTGTGTGTGTGTGTGTGTGTGTGTGTGTGTGTGTGTGTGTGTGTGTGTGTGTGTGTGTGTGTGTGTGTGTGTGTGTGTGTGTGTGTGTGTGTGTGTGTGTGTGTGTGTGTGTGTGTGTGTGTGTGTGTGTGTGTGTGTGTGTGTGTGTGTGTGTGTGTGTGTGTGTGTGTGTGTGTGTGTGTGTGTGTGTGTGTGTGTGTGTGTGTGTGTGTGTGTGTGTGTGTGTGTGTGTGTGTGTGTGTGTGTGTGTGTGTGTGTGTGTGTGTGTGTGTGTGTGTGTGTGTGTGTGTGTGTGTGTGTGTGTGTGTGTGTGTGTGTGCAGCAACAGGTGTGTGGAGCCACAACCAGTCAGATGTGGACGCTCTATATCACGCAGCAACAGGTGTGTGGAGCCACAACCAGTCAGGTGTGGACGCTCTATATCACGCAGCAACAGGTGTGTGGAGCCACAACCAGTCAGGTGTGGAGGCTCTATATCACGCAGCAACAGGTGTGTGGCACACAACCAGTCAGGTGTGGAGGCTCTATATCACGCAGCAACAGGTGTGTGGCACACAACCAGTCAGGTGTGGAGGCTCTATATCACGCAGCAACAGGTGTGTGGCACACAACCAGTCAGGTGTGGAGGCTCTATATCACGCAGCAACAGGTGTGTGGAGCCACAACCAGTCAGATGTGGACGCTCTATATCACGCAGCAACAGGTGTGTGGAGCCACAACCAGTCAGGTGTGGACGCTCTATATCACGCAGCAACAGGTGTGTGGAGCCACAACCAGTCAGGTGTGGAGGCTCTATATCACGCAGCAACAGGTGTGTGGCACACAACCAGTCAGGTGTGGAGGCTCTATATCACGCAGCAACAGGTGTGTGGCACACAACCAGTCAGGTGTGGAGGCTCTATATCACGCAGCAACAGGTGTGTGGCACACAACCAGTCAGGTGTGGAGGCTCTATATCACGCAGCAACAGGTGTGTGGAGCCACAACCAGTCAGATGTGGACGCTCTATATCACGCAGCAACAGGTGTGTGGAGCCACAACCAGTCAGGTGTGGAGGCTTTATATCACGCAGCAACAGGTGTGGAACACAGCCAGTCAGGTGTAGAGGTGGTATAGAATGATACTGGATAGGATTTGTTATCAGTGTCGTGTTGCTTATGATATCAAATACCCTGGGGGGATATCATTAACTGCTATCTCGTCTATGTAAGATAGCCACTAATGATTCAGTTGCAATCTTGGACTACAATCATCTCGTTTACTGGCCCAAATTCGGCAAGAAATGTCTTCTATTATTCTATCACAATCCTCGCATTCTATTATTCTATTACAATCCCCGCATTCTATTATTCTATTACAATCCTCGCATTCTATTATTCTATTACAATCCCCGCATTCTATTATTGTATTACAATCCTCGCATTCTATTATTCTATCACAATCCTCGCATTCTATTATTCTATCACAATCCCCGCATTCTATTATTCTATTACAATCCCCGTATTCTATTATTCTATTACAATCCCCGTATTCTATTACAATCCCCGTATTCTATTACAATCCCCGCATTCTATTATTCTATTACAATCCCCGTATTCTATTACAATCCCCGTATTCTATTACAATCCCTGCATTCTATTATTCTATCACAATCCCCGTATTCTATTACAATCCCCGTATTCTATTACAATCCCCGCATTCTATTATTCTATTACAATCCCCGTATTCTATTACAATCCCCGCATTCTATTATTCTATTACAATCCCCGTATTCTATTACAATCCCCGTATTCTATTACAATCCCCGCATTCTATTATTCTATTACAATCCCCGCATTCTATTATTCTATTACAATCCCCGTATTCTATTACAATCCCCGTATTCTATTACAATCCCCGCATTCTATTATTCTATCACAATCCCTGCATTCTATTATTCTATTACAATCCCTGCATTCTATTATTCTATCACAATCCCTGCATTCTATTATTCTATTACAATCCCCGCATTCTATTATTCTATCACAATCCCCGCATTCTATTACAATCCCCGCATTCTATTACAATCCTCGCATTCTATTATTCTATTACAATCCAAAGGAATCACATTAACGTGATGAATCAATAAGAAAAATTACCGTTGCTTGGGAGTACTTAGAGGCATAAGTTCGAATCCACCTGACGGCTCCTGCTGATTTTCTAATAACAATTCTTGTATTAATCCCCCCCCCCCCAAGCACTGAACACAAATTATAACGCAGTTTGTTACACAAATTCCTGTCTGTGTGTGTCCTTGTTAGACAAGATATCAGTATGGACATCTTCATTTGGTTATCCTTGGCGCACGATATCCAGTCCATGTATCTAACCTGAAGATTCGCAAGAATTGGGTCATATATCCACTCCTGTTATATTCTTGAGAGCGGCTGGTATGTGATAGACTTTTAGACTTTTACAAGTCTTATAATTAAGGCTACATCATTAATGTCGATGGAATTAACTTTAAAAATAACACAGAGGTTTGGCTCACACGGTCAGTTACCTGACCACTTGGGCTGGACGGTAGAGCGACGGTCTGGCTTTATGCAGGTCGGCGTTCAATCCCCGACCGTCCATTCCTTTCCCCGCGTCCCATCCCATATCCTTATCGTGATTCCTTCCCAGTGGTCGTGTCCATGGGGTCGTGTCCATGGGGTCGTGTCCTTGGGGTCGTGTCCTTGGGGTCGTGCCCTTGGGGTCGTGTCTTTGGGGGTCGTGCCCTTGGGGGTCGTGCCCTTGGGGTCGTGTCCATGGGGTCGTGTCCTTGGGGTCGTGTCCATGGGGTCGTGTCCATGGGGTCGTGTCCTTGGGGTCGTGTCCTTGGGGTCGTGCCCTTGGGGGTCGTGTCCTTGGGGTCGTGCCCTTGGGGGTCGTGCCTTCAGATCGTGTCCATGGGGTTGTGTCCATGGGGTCGTGTCCATGAGGTCGTGTCCTTGGGGTCGTGCCCTTGGGGGTCGTGCCTTCAGATCGTGTCCATGGGGTTGTGTCCATGGGGTCGTGTCCATGAGGTCGTGTCCTTGGGGTCGTGCCCTTGGGGGTCGTGCCTTCAGATCGTGTCCATGGGGTTGTGTCCATGGGGTTGTGTCCATGGGGTTGTGTCCATGGGGTCGTGTCCATGGGGTTGTGTCCATGGGGTCGTGTCCATGGGGTTGTGTCCATGGGGTTGTGTCCATGGGGTCGTGTCCATGGGGTTGTGTCCATGGGGTTGTGTCCATGGGGTCGTGTCCATGGGGTTGTGTCCATGGGGTTGTGTCCATGGGGTTGTGTCCATGGGGTTGTGTCCATGGGGTTGTGTCCATGGGGTTGTGTCCATGGGGTTGTGTCCATGGGGTCGTGTCCATGGGGTTGTGTCCATGGGGTCGTGTCCATGGGGTCGTGTCCATGGGGTTGTGTCCATGGGGTTGTGTCCATGGGGTTGTGTCCATGGGGTCGTGTCCATGAGGTCATGTCCTTGGGGTCGTGCCCTTGGGGGTCGTGCCTTCAGATCGTGTCCATGGGGTTGTGTCCATGGGGTCGTGTCCATGAGGTCGTGTCCTTGGGGTCGTGCCCTTGGGGGTCGTGCCTTCAGATCGTGTCCATGGGGTTGTGTCCATGGGGTCGTGTCCATGAGGTCGTGTCCTTGGGGTCGTGCCCTTGGGGGTCGTGCCTTCAGATCGTGTCCATGGGGTTGTGTCCATGGGGTTGTGTCCATGGGGTTGTGTCCATGGGGTCGTGTCCATGAGGTTGTGTCCATGGGGTCGTGTCCATGAGGTCGTGTCCTTGGGGTCGTGCCCTTGGGGGTCGTGCCTTCAGATCGTGTCCATGGGGTTGTGTCCATGGGGTCGTGTCCATGGGGTTGTGTCCATGGGCTCGTGTCCATGGGGTCGTGTCCATGGGGTTGTGTCCATGGGGTTGTGTCCATGGGGTTGTGTCCATGGGGTCGTGTCCATGAGGTCGTGTCCTTGGGGGTCGTGCCTTCACAGACCGGGTGAGGCCAGTTCAATTCCATTATAACTTCGTCGTTTTAGCAGCCTATTAGGACACAGCTACACCCACAATCCCTACAAATCCCTAAACGTTTCCCTTCATTATCGGATTTTTCCCGGCTAATGGAAGCAAGTTTTAACATATTTGCAAATAACTTTGTAAATTAGGTACCTTTCACCGAATAGATGGAAGGAGCAGTTTGTGGGGGCAGGTCTCCGGAGGGTGTACAGCGCGTCTAGTTCTGAGAGACGGGCTCCCCTTCCTGCAGGTCCGTGCTCGATCCCTGATGGTCCAAGTAGTTGTGCACCATTCCTTATCTATCCCTGTCGAGTGCTATACAGCTATAGTGTGTTCTATAGCCACGACGCCAGTGTGATTATGTAACACTTGAATGGGATATGAGGATAGTTGCTGGGATATGAGGATAGTTGCTGGGACATGAGGATAGTTGTTGGGATATGAGGATAGTTGCTGGGATATGAGGATAGTTGCTGGGATATGAGGATAGTTGTTGGGACATGAGGATAGTTGCTGGGATATGAGGATAGTTGTTGGGACATGAGGATAGTTGTTGGGATATGAGGATAGCTGCTGGGACATGAGGATAGTTGCTGGGATATGAGGATAGTTGCTGGGATATGAGGATAGTTGCTGGGATATGAGGATAGTTACTGGGATATGAGGATAGTTGCTGGGATATGAGGATAGTTGCTGGGATATGAGGATAGTTGCTGGGATATGAGGATAGTTGCTGGGATATGATGACAGTTGCTGGGATATGAGGATAGTTGCTGGGATATGAGGACAGTTGCTGGGATATGATGACAGTTGCTGGGATATGATGACAGTTGCTGGGATATGATGACAGTTGCTGGGATATGATGACAGTTGCTGGGATATGATGACAGTTGCTGGGATATGAGGATAGTTGCTGGGATATGAGGACAGTTGCTGGGATATGATGACAGTTGCTGGGATATGATGACAGTTGCTGGGATATGATGACAGTTGCTGGGATATGATGACAGTTGCTGGGATATGAGGATAGTTGCTGGGATATGAGGATAGTTGCTGGGATATGAGGATAGTTGCTGGGATATGAGGATAGTTGTTGGGATATGAGGATAGTTGCTGGGATATGATGACAGTTGCTGGGATATGATGACAGTTGCTGGGATATGATGACAGTTGCTGGGATATGATGACAGTTGCTGGGATATGAGGACAGTTGCTGGGATATGAGGACAGTTGCTGGGATATGAGGACATAAGTAGAACTACAGAAGGCTTATTGTCCCCCATATAAGGCGGGTACTATATATGCAGACGATGAGTCACAATAACGAGGCTGAAGACATGATGAGCAAACCACTCATCAGAAGATGAGGAGACGACGACGTTTCGGTCCGTCGTGGACCAGTGTCAACACACGACTTAATAATGGTCCACGACGGACCATTAGGACCACAGAGGATGTAAAATTGTTTTTGAAAATGTAAGAAGTGTCTTGCGAAACGCTTCTAGGCGTCAGACCATAAATAAAGTGTGAAAATGAGCTTTGGAGAGTTAATTTTTCAACTACCCTCGACAGTGAAGAAAAACGTAAGATTCGTATTTGAATCATTATTCTTACGGACCGAAACGTCGTCGATTCTTCTAATGAGTGGCTTGGTCATTAGGCCCTCTCTGTGGCCATCGAAATTATTCCTATCTCTGACTAACCAAATAGGGGGCCTGACGGCTGAGTGGACAGCGCTCGGGATTCGTAGTCCTGAGATTCCGGGTTCCATCCCCGGTGGAGGCGGAA